ACAGTGTGAAACAAAACCAATTTATGGTGCCAACAAAAACTTCATCAATGAAGGGCAACTACAACTCGTAGAAAGCTTCACACACTCTTGATCAAGACTGTTTGAAGCAAATTCAATTTATATGGTTCATCCAAACCTTCGACTACTACAAGGTGTGGCTTGCATCACAATCTCTTGCTCAACAGTGTGGAAACAAAATTTGTATATGTTGTCTCTCCCATATTTTCAAATTTCTAATTTTCCAAAAAAAAAAAGGGAAATTCAACAAAGGTTCACCACAAAAGCTTTGCCAACAAAAGCTTCACCAACAAAAGCTTCATCAATGGAGGACAACTACAAATTCTCAAAAGCTTCACACTATCTTGATCAAGATAGTGTGAAGCAAAATCAATTCATGGTACCCAACAAAAGCTTCAACTTTAAGCTTCACCTACATAGCTTCAACACCAAAGCTTCACCTACAAAGCTTCAACTCCAAAGCTTCACCTACAAAAGCTTCAACTTCAAAGCTTCAACTCCAAAGTTTCACTTACAAAGCTTCAACTCAAAAACTTCACCCACAAAGCTTCAACACAAAAAGTTTCATCCACTATAAAAGCTTCAGCCACAAAACCTTTACCTACAAAAACTTCACCCATAAAAGCTTCACATACAAAAGCTTCACCCACTACAAAAGCTTCACCCACAAAAGCTTCACCCACCACAAAAGCTTCACACACTCTTGATCAAGATAGTGTAAAGCAAAATCAATTCATGGTACCCAACAAAGCTTCAACACCAAAGTTTCACCTACAAAGCTTAAAACATATATATATTCGAAAATTCAAAAATTCGAAAATTAAAAAAACAAATTGCCTAGGCCTTATTTTTTTTGGGCCTAACAACTTTCATAACAAATATTTATGGAGGAGTTTTGGGCTACCACTTAGAAAGGAAATGCCTCATTCGTCAACTCCCTCGACCGGAGATTTAGGGGACTCCTATCATATGCTACTGCACCTTGATACTCGGAAGTCTCACGACCACTCAGTGACTTGGATTTTTCAAGTCTCCAATCGAGAAGTTTTCCTCACTCGGGAAATTAAGGGAGCACTACCTCAACATAGATGCTTCACTCACAAAGCTTTAACATACAAGCTTCGACCAAAGAAAAATTCAAAGAACTTAGTGAAGAAGGCTTTGGTGTATTTAACACAATACGTTGAAATGAAGCAAAGTTTATTTATTCATATCTCTGATAAGTTACAAATATGTACATATACATGAATCAAAATAAACAAACAAGATGGCGCCTTCACAAAGGTTGCTCAGGAGAAGTCTCAGCAGTCGGTAGAGCCTCATAAAGAGTAGGCACCGGAGGGTGATCATTCGGAGCCTCAGTACTGGGCAGAACCCCAGAATGAGGAGGCACCGAAGGTTGATCATTTGGAGCTTCATTATGTGGTATAGCCCCAGAAGACGAAGGCAATAAATAACTTTGGAACAAACCCACAAACCTCTGATGATCAAGTAAAATCTGACCATCAGATTCCTGCAGTTGGTCAAGCTTCCTCTTCATGTTTGTAGCATAGTCATGCTTGAGCCCTCTAATCTCCTGTTTGAAACTTATCACTTCAGCCGCTAATGATTCAACTTGGCGGGTTCGAGCAAATATGCGTTGTGCCATATTAGACACGGAACCTGCACACTGAACACTGAAAGCCAGGGAATCCTTAACTGCCAACTCATCAGACCGTTTAGAAAGTAGTCTGTTATCTTTGGCAATGAGAAGGTTCATGGCCACCACCACAGCGGTCATATCATTCTTCATCACAGAGTTTCCAACGGTAAGAAGACCAGTAAGGGATAAGAAAGATGGGTGCCATATGTTGTCTTGAGGAGACATAGCTACCTCTTCACCAAAGTTCAAGTCAAAATGACGGTCAAATGGGCCAAACATTTTCAAAAATGATGAAGGACAACTGAGGTCCAATAAATCTCTAAAGTACAAAAATAAGGGGAAAAATCCTACAAGCAATAACTCTCTGAATGTACTTCTTGCACATAATTGGTGCCCTTATAAAAGAAAGGGCAACATGGCCGTTGGTTCAAAAATCGAAGAAACACCACTATTTGGATTTCGAAGAGGCACCACTTTCCACACGCAACATCAGCTTATCGGGTACCATAGATAACTTTGCCAAAGATCTTTGACAAAGTTTAGACATATAAATTTTGAAGGTTTAGCTACCCTACTATTACCCACAAGGGTAAAGGAACAGCACCATTGCTTGATAACTGGAAAGTCCCTATATGTGTCAACCTCTGTGCTCCGTGGCAAGGCAGACTGGCAAAAATGCCCAACCTTTACTCACATTCGAGAAAACACTCCTAACAAGATTGCTTGCTCAAAAATCGAAGAGGCACCACTCTCCGAATCTCGAGAGCCAGACTCCTAACATGATTACTTGCTAAAAAATCGAAGAGGCACCGCCCTCCGAATCTCGAGAGTCAGACTCCCAACAAGATTACTTTCTTAAAAATCGAAGAGACACCGCTCTCCGAATCTCAAGAGTCAGACTCCCAACATGATTGCTTTCTCAAAAATCGAAGAGGCACTGTTCTCCGAATCTCGAAAGCTAGATCCCCGACAAGATTGCTTGTTCGAAAATCGAAGAGGCACCGCTTTCTGAACTTCGAGAGCCAGATTTCATTGGATAAAGCTTGTCTGCAATCTTTACACGCAACATCAGCTTTCCAGATACCACAGACCACTTTTTCAAAGTACTCTTACAAAGTTAAAACACGTGAAGCTTGCAGCTCCCACTACATTGCTATGACCAAGAAGGGTAAAAGAATAACATTACTACTTGTTGTTAGGAAGACTCCTATATATGTCGACCTCCATCCTCCACGGATAGATAGACCTGTAAAAATGCTCAACCCTTCCTCATATCTGATAGGGCACTCCTGAGGAAGCCTCTCGAAATACTCAGCTTCCCCCCTAATAATACCTATGCAAACCAGCCACACTAGAGCAAGAGTATCTCATATCATCAGGGTTAAAAGCAAGAGTATCCCATATCATGTTTTTTCCCTGTCTTTTTCTTTGCCATTGTTCTTACCTGCAAGACAAGAAGAAATAGAGCAATCAGTCAGCACTTGAAATCAAGTTTCCAGTCAAGAATTGACCGCCTAGAACCCCTTGCCTGATTACTTACCTGGCATTACTCTCGAGTACTCATCTTCAACATTTTATGCTTCCAGAGAAGATACCACATCTGCTTGAGGAACAGATAGGGCAAATAAGAATGATACAAAGAAGCATGTAGAGACAAGCGTAACAGAACATGTGCCAATACATCCACTACTTTGTCAACAGCAAAGGTATCCCATATCATCAAGACCGAACGTACTCTAGATTTGATGGACTTGTTTTGACCCTCAAATTCTTGAGCCGGCCTTATACTTTGGAGGAAACTAGAAAACCCTCCAGCCTAGTTCAAGAATAAGCATGTGGAAAATTACTTCTTCAAAAGCAAAAGTATCTCATATCATCTCTTCTCCTTGTTCTTCTCTTTATCTTTCATGCTGCCTGCAAGATAGAGAGAATGAGAACAATCAGCCAGAACTCGAAATCAAACTTCTAATCTGGGACTGATTGTTTGGAGCTCTGATTGCTTACCTTGTCTGTCACCTTTTCGGCAGATCTCTTAGCTCGGCGACTTAGGGAACTCTTACTACATGGTTTGTATCACGCTTGACCAAGCCTGAAACTACAAGTAAGCTTCAAGTGAAATTGATACAGTACCTTGTGCATCTCAACCGGTTAAAGATACCACCCCTGGATAGAGGAAGAATACTTTCAGAGAAGATGCCACATCTACCTATGAGATAGATAAGGCAAGTGAAGACGATACCACACTTCGGTACTTAGAAGTTTCGTGATTACTCATTGGCTTGGATCTTGCAAGTCCCTAACCGATGAGCTTCCTTCACTCGGGAACTTAGGGGAGCACTGTTTGTACCATACTTGACCAATCCCGAAACTACTGAGCACCGATCAACGTTATACCGTCAAGGACCCAGAAGAGCTCTAACCAGGAGGCCAATCACAATGTGCCACGTGTCGACATCAGAAGCCAATCACAGCGCGACATATGTCAACATCAGAAGCCAATCACAACATGACACGTGTCAATGTCAGAACAAAGCTAGAAACTCTTATATAAAAAGAGATCATTCTCCCACAATATTTCCTAATGTCATTTGTACTAAATCATTCACTAGTACTCATTAAAGGAGAGCTTGAACCTATGTACTTGTCTAAACCCTTCACAATTAATAAGAACTCCTCTACTTCGTGAACATAGCCAATCTGGGTGAACCACGTACATCTTGTTTTTGCTTCCCTATCTCTATCCATTTACATACTTATCCACACTAGTGACCGGAGCAATCTAATTAATGTCACAAACTTAACAATTTTTGTTGTACCAAAGTCCTCATTGATTTTGTGCATTAACATCATCAATCTTTTGTTGCGAGATCTAAATGCATTGTTACAACAATATGGTAAAAGAATTTGTGATTATGATCTTCCACAAATTAGCTCAACAACTCTAACAAATATACAAGATGAGCTCGCAGTTCATGTTCCCCCAGAAGACCTGTAATCAGTTCAGACATTAAACAATGATCAACGTATTGCATTCGACACAATCATGATAGCTGTTACATGTAATCAATCAACAGCTTTCTTTGTAGATGGTCCCGACGGTACTGGATAGACTTACCTTTATCGTGCAATTCTTGCTTCCCTAAGGAGTGATGACCTCATAGTTATTGCAATAGCCACATCTGGTATTACAACTACTATTTTACCTGGAGGAAGAACAACATATTCACGATTTAAGATTCTTATCGACTTATTGTCCACCAACACTTACTCTATAAGCAAGCAATCAGATTTGGCAGAACTTCTAAGGCGTGCAGTTGTTCTTATATGGGATGAAGCCACTATGACTCATAGGAAAACATTTGAGGCTTTAGATGGAACCTTACGAGATATAACGGGCATAGAAACACAATTTGATGGCAAAGTGATGATTCTTGGAGGAGATTTTCATCAAGTTCTTACTGTAGTGCCTCGTGGAACCAAAGTGCAAACAATAGATGCATGCATTGTAAAGTCCTCATTATGGAACAAGATTCAAGTTATCCAGTTGAAACATAATATGAGAGCTCAACAAGACCCTGATTTTGCAGAATTCCTACTTCGTGTTGGTGATGGAAATGAGTCATTTGTAGAAGATGATATGATTAGAATCCCGGATTCATGTGTTATTCCTTGGCATGGCGATGAATCAATTGGTGAGCTTATTGGTTTTGTATTTCCAAGATTAGAGGATAATGCTTTCAACATTTCTTATATGGTTGATATGGCTATCATCACCCCAAGGAATGAGGACGTTGACAAGTTAAATGAAGTGATGTTAAACTCATTTCCTGGGGAACAACACATTTATTACTGACTTGACGATGACCCTCAAAACTTATATCCATAAGAGTTTTTGAATTCTATAACTCCAGGTGGCTTACCTACTCATAAGTTGACATTGAAGTTGGGCACTAATCATTCTCCTTAGAAATATTGATCCAAAAGTTGGGTTATGCAATGGAACAAGGTTGATATGTCGGTGATTCTTTCCAAATTGCATTGATGCTGATATATTAACTGGGCATTTTAAGGACACATAAGTTTTCCTGCCACCCATTCCTTTGAAACCTTCGGAAAATGTAAAGCTTCCGTTCTCTTTTATACGTCGACAATTTCCTATAAGATTAAGCTTTGCGCTGACCATAAACAAATCTCAAAGCCATACAATTCCATATGTGGGTGTCTATCTCCCTAATCATGTGTTCAGCCATGACCAACTTTATGTAGCTTTGTTAATAGGAGTTTCCACACATACAACCAAGTTCTTATAAGAAATGGTGTCATTGCAGGACAATATGGAGTTTATACAAGGAATGTTGTATATAAAGATGTTCTAACATCATGTCATATGCAACAAGATGAATAAAACATCAGGTTTACTTACTTATCCCTTTAACATTATTTTCTTTCTTTTTTTTTTTTGGCCAAAATGAATCAATTATTACAAATTGATTTTTTTCATTTAGACTTGAGTATAAAATTTGGTTCTCAGATAAAATTTGGACTGGGGGTACCAAAATCTCAGATAAATACAAAGACCATCTTACCTTTGGATGTTTCTACCCTAAATAGTTTGACGACCGTCTTACTTAATTTCCCAATACATATGTGGTATTTTAGTTTTGAATTTTAGTTTTTTTTTTTCTTATATGTTCTGATGTCCTGCTCATATGGTAATGCTTTGTGCAGGTTCAGTCATGCCTTCCAATTTGTTCTACCAATTTAAAAAGTAAGTCATATTCAATTCCCTGAAGATTTGGAATTTGAGGTGCAATTGTTGCAAATTGTAACTCAGTTATGCATTTTCTTTTTACAACAATTGTTATCTTTGCAAATGTTTCTAGTGCTCAAATGTTGTATATAAAGATGTGCTAACATCATGCCATATGCAACAAGATTAACAAAACGTAAGGTTACTTACTTCTCCCTTTAACATTATTTTCTTCCTTTTTTTGCCAAAATGAATCAATTATTACAAATTGCTATTCTTCATTCAGACTTGAGTCCAAAATTTAGTTCTCTTTAATCTATTTGTGAATGAAAGAACTACTTGGTCTATTTCTAAAGCTTGATACAATAGTTGAGGCCCCTAATTCTTTTCTTTAATTTTGAATGCATAGGGGCTGTTGTCTACGATATGCTGAAAATGCAATCTAGAAACTATTATGTAATTATGGGAGAGCTCAGTTATTCATTATATATATGTTTTGTCTTCTCTATATGCAATTAAATTCCTTTCCTTTTATTAATATTTTTAAGAAGTAAGAGACTATTTTGAGATTGTGCATTCACATTAGCTTTGATTTGTTGACTCTAATGTTCTTTTCACTATTTGTTGCAGGCCTTGCTCTCATCTTTAGTAATGTTCAAAATTCAACCATTGCTTGAAAGTTGGAAATGGTACCAAAATTTTAAAATTAGTAAAGTTCCATGTCAAATCATCATTGGAAATTATTTCAAAATGCGTTGTAGCCCAACTCATGTGTACTCAGTAACTTCTAATTTCTTCAAATTTGGAGTGTTTATGTATTATGCCTATTGTATTTTTATCTGTATTTTGGAAGTTATGTAGAATTGTAATTTCATTGGTTTTTTATGGTTAGATTGAGCAACATATACACAACTGCCACATCCTATACTCTACTTTTGGATGTTTCAATTATGCCGAAACAATAAAAAAAAGGAAATAATCAAAAGTAAATTTGATTGCACACGCATATCATGTGTGCCTGTTGCTAGTTTGTATTAAAGGAAGGGTTTTATGTGCAGATTACCAGTTAATTATGTAATTCCAATAATTTATTTAAAACTTGTGGGGGCAATGATCACCTCGAGTAAGGGCTGGTTTGGTATTGATATGCTTTAAAAAAAAGATTATGTTGTCCTGTGAGAATAAGTTCATTTTTGCTGCTTTACGTTTTCAGCTTTTTTCCATCAAAAACTGTGAAAATAAGTTGTTTTTAAGTGTTTATCAAACATTTTTTTTAGTTCAACTTTTTTTTATACCAATTTTTTATAAAAGTACCTCAGTACCAAACCAATACTAATTCAGTAACGCAATCGGTATAGCTTTCATCCTTATTAAATATTATGTAATCCAAGAATTTATTTAAAACTTATGGTCTATGGAGGTCAATCATCACCTCTAGTAATTTAGTAAAGCCATCGGTATAGCTTTCCATCTTTTTGCAGAGGCTGACTGGGTTTGGTTAAGATATATATCACCGACCTCCAAGGAAAAATGGAGGCTACGCTAGCCTTCATGTGCAATAAACACTAAATCATATTTGATATGCATGTTGAGTTGTTTTTTATCTCTTTATTTGAAACGAAGGTAGGTTGGTATCTGCAAAGTCGGGATTTTTTTTTATTTTTTTTTATCTTTACTAGAAAAAGGGTAGTATTAGAAAGTTATTAGTTTTTTGAGATGGAAGATGTGGTTGGTGGTGATGAGTTTTTAGGGTGTATATAGCAAAACACCCTCACTTTGGAGCCATAGTCCAATTAAAAGGTACTTTAACGAAAAATTTCAGGTACTGTTTATTTTAACGAAAAATCATATTTTTACATTAAAAAAATCAATCATGATACTATTTACTTTACCCTAAAATTCAAAGTTTTCAAATCTTTTTAATTAGTTTTCCTCTAATTAAAACCATATCTGGGTTGAAGCACACTAATCCCAGATCATTGAATAGAACCCATCAAATAATATTTTATTTTATTTTATTTTAATTTCACTAATAATATAAACCTTTTTTTATTTATGATTATGCCCTCTCTCTCCTCCTCAGTCTGTCTCTCTCCGCCTCAATTTCTCTCTCCCTTCCTTCTCCAATAAATTTTCATATGAAAAACCCCTCACAAATGCGCCTCAACCTCCAATCCAAAATTTCTCCGTCTTTGAAAACAGAAAAATTTAAAACGACCTAATTTTCATCAAAGCCTGAAAGCCCTATTCAATCTAATCCCTACCTTTCTACCCACATTTTTTCTGGGTATTCTTTTTCTTCTCCTCCTTCGCCGAGCTTCTACTTCTTCCCCATTTTCTGATTTGCCGACACTACCAATAGTTGGTTTCCTCAGTTCCTCTAGGTTACCAAAATCCCATCCCAATCCCCCAATTCTCCCCTAGTTTTTCTAGGGTTTCATCCCTGTTCATCAGATTGGGGATTTGATATTTTATGTTTTGGTTTTTGTTTTTATACTGGGTAGGGTTCTAATTTATGATCTTCCTTCCCTGAATACCAAATTGGTTAGTGTTTCTGCAGCACATGAAAAATTCCTATCTGGGTTGTATTCCTTTGTATTTTTTGGAGAAAGGGTTTACCTTTGAGCAAAGATTTTCATTTTTTTGTACTTTTGTAATTAGTTGTTGCCATTGATTTTTGGGATTGGGAAAGAAGTTAGCTCTTTTTTTTTTTTTTTTTAATTCTGGTGGTTTTGGGATTTTTGGGTATAGGGAAGAGTTATTGTTTGGTGTGGAAGTGAAGGGAAAGCTTAGGCTTGCATGGGCGAACTTGAGGGGTGGGCAGAGCCACCAAGTGGGCTGTTGCCGAATGGCCTATTGCCCAATGAAGCTGCCTCGGTGATGCGAGTGCTCGACTCAGAGCGATGGTTGAAGGCGGAGGAGAGAACTGCAGAGCTTATTGCCTGCATTCAGCCCAATTCACCATCCGAAGAGCGCCGAAATGCTGTTGCCGATTATGTGCAGCGGCTCATCATGAAGTGCTTCCCCTGCCAGGTGGGACTTGTGTGTATACATAATATTTGTTTGTTTCAAAAACTGTAACTACACTTTAGTTTCAATTTGTGCTGTAACAATTTTGCCGCAGTATTCTCATTTAGTTCTATAGGGTAGAAATCAGTCATGATATTGTGTTTGAAGAGTATGCGTAAGTTAAGTACTTTAAGTTAGTATTGTTTATATATTGTATATCTCAGATAATTTCGAGTTTCGAAAGACATAATGTGCGAAGACCAATAAATTCTTTGGGATGAGGATTTTTTGGAAGTTTAAGGTTCTAAAAGGAGAAGGGAGAAAGCACAAGTTTGTAGCTTGAGCTTATGAGAACAAAGAGGTAGATGAATTATGTATGATCAGAGTGGTGTGTAGAACCTCACACCGTGTAAACTTGGAGACTTTGAAAATGATATATAATGCCAGTGATTTTTTTCAGCATGTCTTTTGTTGTGCCAAAATTGGGGCAATGGTCATGGTTATGTTATGAAAAGTTTTTGTTAACTTGTTCTACTGGTGCATATGTATTTCTGTTGATGCATTTATTTTTGTTTATAAATATGCGCAGGTGTTCACTTTTGGGTCTGTACCCCTCAAGACTTATTTGCCTGATGGAGATATTGACCTGACAGCCTTCAGTAAGAGTCCAAATATGAAGGACACATGGGCCCATCAAGTTCGTGATATGCTTCAGAATGAGGAGAAGAACGAGAATGCTGAATTCCGCGTGAAAGAGGTTCAGTACATTCAGGCAGAAGTAAGTTCCTCCTAGCATCACTAATACTTTTACCTTTTTTTCTATCTTGGCAATGTTCGTTAATTTTTGTTCTTTATTGTTATTAAGTTTGACTCCCTTTATATCTTGTATTTGCTTTGTTGATACTAGATTTAACCTTATTAATTCTTTTTGTACTACAGGTTAAGATAATCAAGTGCCTTGTGGAAAACATTGTTGTAGACATATCATTCAATCAGCTCGGGGGCTTGTGCACCCTTTGTTTCCTTGAGGAGGTAAATGGTTCATTTGATAACCTTGTTAACATGTGTATACTTTTCAGTCAATAGCATTAGTATGCTTTGACTAATTGTATTGTCTACTTCTGCAGGTTGATCATTTGATAAATCAGAATCATTTGTTCAAGCGCAGTATCATACTGATAAAGGCCTGGTGTTATTATGAGAGCCGAATACTGGGCGCTCATCATGGGCTTATCTCAACTTACGCATTGGAAACTTTGGTTTTGTACATATTTCACGTTTTCAACAACTCTTTTTCTGGACCACTTGAGGTAATCTTGTTACCTTGGTTTATTATGTTGGCATTATTCTTTGTGGATCCACTGAATGGTTTTCCTTGCTTATGCAGGTCCTGTATCGTTTTCTGGAGTTTTTCAGTAAATTTGACTGGGATAATTTTTGTGTTAGCCTATGGGGTCCTGTACCCATTGGTTCACTTCCAGATGTATCTGGTACTGATTTTTTGCTTAAAATTCGTAGTAAACTTTTGACCTTCAACCCAATTTTCTCATTTTTTTCATTTCTGGGTTAATTTGCGATTGTTCATGTTACAGCGGAACCTCCTCGAAAAGATGGTGGAGAGTTACTGCTGAGCAAATTGTTTCTTGATGCCTGTAGCTCAGTGTATGCCGTCTTCCCTGGTGGTCAAGAAAATCAGGGCCAACCTTTTGTTTCCAAACATTTTAACGTTATTGACCCTTTGCGAATTAACAACAACCTGGGACGTAGTGTTAGTAAAGGTATGTTGTTCCAAAATATATGTTCTTGGATAACTCTTTCTAATGGATTTACTTATGTTTCTAAAGTTATTATTTTGTAATTAGCCAACATCTTATTGGGCTGTGGTATGAGAAATAAATTGTTTACTTATTGGTCACGCTCATTACAAGGGTGTCAAATAGTTTATTTTCAAGGCGTTTCCAATTTGGGAGATAACTATGTGTATTACAAATTGAAAAACGTTGGACTTCAAATAATTAAGAACCTGATTTAGATTCCTCTTTACTGGAAGTAGAACAGAAGATGATGAAACCATGATTTTTCTGTTGGCTTTTTGTATGTGCTGCTAACCTCCCAATAGGCTCCACTTTTTGTCACTGAAAATGTACAATGTGCCTTGTCGGTTTTGTGTTTATGCCTCTTTTATATCTGATAAATGATAAGGGTCCATTTACATTTGCAAAAGATTTGGAGGTATAAATCATTCAACTCCAGTGCAACCTTTAGAAAAAGAAAACATATAGCTGAAAACAGCTGTGTGGAACTTGCATGATAATGCGGAAGGCAACAATATGCAATTTTTACTTGGAAATAGCCTCATTCAAATAGAAGAAACATGTCTTATATTTAAGAGAGTGGGGTTTTTGCATGGGAGACCGAAAGAATAGTTTTTTCTGTTTGCAGTTGCACACAACTATACATATATACTTCATTTGTCTTTCCTGCTTGTAAGGTGTAACTTTGTGGCTTGATTGTCTATCCGTTCAAATTGTTGGTTGTTGGAATCATATATGTCTACGTATATTTCCAGGTAATTTCTTTAGGATACGCAGTGCATTTGCGTTTGGGGCTAAAAGGCTGGCCAGATTGCTGGATTGTGCCATAGAGGATCTATTTTCCGAAGTAAATCAGTTTTTTCTAAACACTTGGGACAGACATGGGAGTGGTCATCGACCTGATGCACCGCGAAATGATTTGAGGCGCTTGAGACCTTTAAATCCAGACCAATTACATGGATCGGAGAATCTTAGGAATATTTCAAGCAACCGAAAAAAGGAAAGTTCCTCTGGTCGGGATACTCAAGGTGAGAGAATGCATGGCTTCATTAATGTTCCCTCCCAGCATGCTAGTCATCGTTTAGAAAGCACCTCCGGTAACGGTAGTGTATCTACAGTAACTCATCCTCAAACTCAAAGGATTCATGGGAACACAAACCTCACTAGATCCTCTGATATGATTAGAAAGGAAACGAATTCCGACCTGGGTGCACACATTGATAAAGGTCAGAGAAGTGCTAAACCTGATAACTGGGTGAATGACTTACAAGGGAGGTTTCTTTTTGCAAGGACACGCTCTAGTCCTGAGCTTACTGATACATATGGTGAAGTTTCCACTCAAAGTAGGGGCAAAGCCCCAGAGAGTGGGAAAGGTCAAACTTCAGCAAGGTTGGATAATAGCAGGAGGAAAAACTTGGATTCTGATAGTATGGCAAGCCACAGAAATAGATCAACTGATGATCCTTCATCTGCTAGATCCATCTCATCCCGCCAAAGTCTTGATGCTGCCGTTGATTCAAATAACTACCTTGATGAGTCAGGCATGAGTGTCGTTGCTGACAATTATGCTTCTGTTTTGGGGACACAAGGGATGCACCAAGAGGAGCAAGATCTTGTTAACATGATGGCATCTTCTGCAGCTCATGGTTTTAATGGGCAGGTTCATCTTCCACTCAATTTGGCTTCCGGTCACCTACCGCTTCCGATCCCACCTGCCATTCTTGCTTCTATGGGATATGCTCAGAGAAATATGGGTGGAATGGTTCCTACAAATTTCCCCTTGATGGAGACTCCTTGGGGCACAAATATGCAATTTCCCCAAGGTGTTGTTCCGCCGTCACTGGCCCCTTATTTCCCTGGCATGGGGTTGACCTCAAATCCTGAAGATTCAGTGGAACCTGGTAATGAAAATTTTGGATCTGTGGAAATGAACTCAGGTGAAACGGAGCATGATTTCTGGCATCAGCAAGAGAGGGGATCTACTGGTGGGTTTGATCTTGATAATGGAAGTTATGAAATGCTTCAGGAATTTGATAAGCAACAGTCAACCTCAGCTGGTTATAACTTTCATCCATCATCTCGCGTAGGCTCCTCCGGAAATTCTGTGCGAGCTCAACTGAAGTCTACCAAAGAAAATCATGAGTCAACAAGAGGGGAAGAGCATGTGAATAATTTTCAGTACCAAGATAAAAGAGGTAATGAGGTTTACTTTGATGATCGAAGTGTGAGTTCTAGATCTGCCACGCATGCAAGTTCAGTGAGAAGTAAAACCTCCTCTGAGAGTTCTTGGGAAGGATCATCAGCAAAGGTCTCAAAGTCAACAAGGGAAAAACGTGGTAGGCGAAGTGCTCTTTCAGCAGTGCCATCTACTGCATATGGGAAAGGTAAGAATGTGTCCGAACATTCGTCTACCCAGGCAGATGATGACAACAGAGATTGGAATTCATCACCTACAGCTTTAGGTGCTGAAATGGTAGAAAGAAGCACAGGACCTCAACCTGTTGCGCCTTTCCATTTTCCAGGGCATCAAATGGCCGGTTTTGAACAAACTCAGACGAGTGGATCAGATTCAATGGTACCTTTTGCTCCATTGCTCTTAGGTCCTGGCTCACGACAGAAAGCTACAAATGATTCTGGAATGTTTACATTTTATCCTACGGGGCCTCCGGTTCCATTTGTTACAATGCTTCCTTTTAATTATTTCTCGTCAGAAACGGGAACTTCAGATGTATCAACAAGCCAATTTAGCAGAGAAGAGGGACCAGATAATAGTGATTCTGGTCAAAATTTTGATTCATCTGAGGGAGCTGATCAGCCTATTGAGCCATCAGAGCATAAGTCTGACATTCTTCACAGCGACTTCGCTAGCCATTGGCAGAATTTGCAATACGGACGGTTTTGCCAAACTTCTCGGCACCCTTCACCTGTGGTTTATCCTTCACCAGTTATGATGCCCCCTGGTTACTTACAAGGAAGATTTCCTTGGGATGGTCCTGGGAGACCTCTTTCAGCCAACATGAATCTCTTCACTCAGCTTATGGGTTATGGACCTAGAATGGTTCCTGTTGCTCCTCTTCAGTCTGTTCCTAACAGGCCTGCCGGTGTTTACCAACGCTATGCAGAGGAGATTCCAAGATATCGTGCTGGGACTGGGACATACCTGCCAAATCCCGTAAGATAATATAAACTCGTTCCTTTGTTAATGATTATTTTAGATTTTTTTAGTTAAGCATGTTGCATCTCCCAATCTTGGTTGTTGGGCCATGTGGTTTCTAGAAAGTTAAGTCTTTGGTTAAACATGATATAGAATCTGTTTTCCCTAGATTTATTATAACTTAGAACCTGCCGTCGGATTATTTCTCTTACCTCCTTTAATTACTTTAGAAGGTTTCTGTACGGGACCGGCCTTCAAATACGAGAAGGGGGAATTACAATTATGATAGAAATGACCACCATGGTGACAGAGAAGGGAACTGGAATGCCAATTCAAAGTCACGAGCTTCTGGGCGCAACCACAGTCGCGGTCAAGCTGAGAAGCCAAATTCCAGAGTAAACCGTTTGGCAGCCAGTGAGAGCCGAGCTGAAAGGTCATGGAGTTCACATAGGCAGGACTCATTCCAGTCATATCAATCTCAAAATGGTCCTATCCGCACAAACACTACACAGAGTGGTTCGACCAATGTTGCATATGGCATGTATCCGGTACCAACCATGAACCCCAGTGGGGTATCTTCGAATGGACCTTCCATGCCACCTGTTGTCATGCTATATCATTATGATCATAATGCTGGCTACGGGCCACCTGCAGAACAACTTGAGTTTGGTTCTCTTGGACCGGTGGGATTCTCAGGTTTGAATGAAGCACAGCTAAATGAAGGGAGCCAGATGAGTGGGGTATTTGAGGAACAAAGGTTTCATGGTGGCTCTACTCAACGATCTTCACCTGATCAGCCTTCTTCACCCCACCTCCAAAGATAGTTGGTTCAAGTATCTCCCTTTTTCTGTTTGGGGAAGGAGGTCGTTCAGGGTTAACCATGGCAGTGTCTCGTGGCCAACTATTCTGAAGATTTTATTCGGAGCAATTTCCTTTTCATTTTGTTATTCTCGACCTATCACTTCACTGGGATTGTATTGCGATGCTTTCCATTATCTTAACAGGGGAGTTTGATCATTTTACCAGATTAGTGGCCCAGGGGGGATTATGAGATGAAAGGTGAGGAGTTTCTGCCTTTAGCATTAACCGAACAGTGAGGGGATGATGACGGTAGAAACTTACAATGACAGTCCCTCGCAGCACCGAGGGTTCCCTGCTCTTGCCCCATTCTTAAGAGGGGAAGGAATTAGACTATTTCATTCCGTGATTCTTGGTATCTTCTTGATCACACCATGCCTGCTTTGAGTTCTTATGTACACTAGATAGTAATTTACTCACTCAATTTTCGTCAAGAACAAGATCGGTGGTAAAATGATGGTGATGTGATGGTGAGGAGGTGGGACTCTGCGGCTTTATTGTTCGTTTTAGGGTTAGGCACGTTGTAACTCTACTGAAGTAGAAACTTGGGTTTAGGTTCAGAGTTTAGGATTTTACTGTTAGGAAACTGTTCTACCAGGAATCTCATGCACACAATGTATTAGGGTTTTTGGATAAGAATACGTGTACCATTTCTCTTTGATGTACTCTGTAAGACTTTCTACAGTGTAGCAATAACACCACCATAGATGAAATTGAAACATTTTCGGTTTCGCTGACGGTTGCTTTTATCCTTTTCATTTTTCAGGTACAGTAGGTGTGCATTTACATTCATTTCTTTCTCCATATATGTTCAAAGTAGATGATTTATGTCATGCTTGAGAAATTTGTTCAGTTCTCGGAACACCTAGGCGGGCAACACCAGCTGGTGTTCCGAGAACCTAGAAAATTTTCTCCATGCTTATAGACGTCGAAGCATTGCAAGTTATAGACCCGAAAGGTGGTGAAAAAATAAAACAGGTGAAATCGACGATATAATTGTGTTTACAACGAGGGAATGTGTATAGATGAAATGTCTTTGGATTAGGGTTTGTTTAGGCCCTTAACCCCTTTTTTTCATTAGGTTGTCTTGGTTCTCGTATCATGGATCATTTCAAAACCGACTTTTCATGAATATTGAACCCATCCACAATAATTTGTGTTTAATAGTGTTGCCAGTGTCAGAATAACTTCTATTAAATCAACACGTAAAATATCCGAAATCTCTTCGATTTGAGGTTAGTTTTTTCCGATGTTAACTAGTAATCGAAACAATCAAATCATCTAAGCTGCTGCTGCCGGAGCTACTTGGAACGCAATCCAGGGACATTCTTAAGCCCCATCTTGCCGAGAACAAGCTTGGGAATGGCGGGAGGGTTGTCCAGCCCCATGCTTCCGCTAAATTCGTTAGCAAGCTCCACAAGCCTATGCTTATCGCGCCCCACTTTCTTGTTCGAATTGTAATACCCGAGCCACGCTTGGTATGCTGCTTCTTTGTTCTTAATCTCCACCTTGGACAGTGCTCGTTCCACCTGTTAGACACAGTTCCAATATTAAAACATCAAACCATATGCTTCAAGGGATTACCCACAAAAAAACTATATGCTTCAAGGAAAACCGGGATGAAACAAGTGACAGAGATAAAGAGGGAGAGGAAACCCACCTTCTTCATAGTATCTGGATCGACTGAAGGTACCGAAGCCTTGGTTATTGGCAAATCCTTAATATTGGACAAGAAGAAGTCCTCCCAAGGAGCCAGTAACAATATTCCTTGCCCCACTTTGCCTTTACGACCAGTTCTTCCAAGTCGATGTATATACTGTTGTCTATCGGCTGGCACACCCACCTATGTTTGCAACAAAGGGGAGAGTGTCAACAATAAGAGGACTATAGGTTCAAATCTACAGCGGCTGAAGTTGCAAAAGAATGTACTGAAGCTGTTTATGATGCTTAAACAAGGTCAAGCAACTTTGGTAAAAAATTTTGAAAGCCATGGAACTCGGGAAACTGAAAGCCACAATTTAAATATTGCATGCTGAATATATGGCAAAGGAACTTCTAGTTAAGTCCTGCATATTACCTGTATGACTAGGGAAACATCTGGATAATCAACCCCGCGTGCAGATACATCAGAAGTCACAAGGATAAGACCCTTTGATTTCCGGAATTCATCAGAAACCCTGGTTCTATAACTCTGGGGCTTTCTAGAATGGATCTCTCTGACATTCAAGTTCAGCTTGCCAAGAAGGTCTGCAACCAGTCGTGTGACCATTGCGGTAGTGCAGAATACAAGAACCTGTGCATAATACAAGAATCACATGCTACATAAGATAGCAATAAAGGTGATGCAGCTCACATATGTTATATAAAATCGCAATAATTGTGGGCAACACAAATCATGCTTCCTAAGAAATATATCTATGGTATTAAATAGATATTAACGAAACACCTGAAAGCATGGTGCATGAATTGAACAAGCCAAGGTTTTGGGGTAATACAATGCCTACCTTATAGTCAACGTCATCTGCAATATGATTTTTAAGAAGACTATATACTATGGAAAAATGGCTGTCCAATGGAGCGACCAAATGCGTCTGTGCAACCTGAAATCATACGTACAAAATACAAACATAGATATTAATCATCAAATTGTCAAAATTATGTCATATCAATACGTCTTCACACACGTCATAAAAGAACCAACCTGTGCATGTGTCTCTTCACTGCCTTCTTCAACTGTATTGATATATTCGTGATCTCTTTTCAAAGCAATATGACAGATTTGACGGACCTACAATCAGGAAGAAACCACTGTTCATGTACAGTATTTAAATGTGTGTTTTTTCACATTTTCCAAAAAAAAAAAAATACACATTACCACAAAAATAAGTAGTGAAAGAAACCTCTTCAGGAACAGTGGCGGAAAACAAAAGCGTCTGCCGTTGTTTGGGAACAGCTGATATAATCCTTTCGATATCTTTACGGAATCCCATATCCAGTAAATGATCAGCTTCATCAAGTATAAGGACTTTGACACCCATCAGCTTAGTTGCAAAACCTGCGGTATTCTCAATGTGATCTTTGAGCCTTCCAGGTGTAGCAACAAGAATCTGGATGTTTTTAGGGTGTTACATCGCGTATAAACAGTGCCCATTAAACATGTCTCAAATTATGTTGATAGGCATTTTCATCTTTGTCCGTAGTTGGCATAGTACTAAAGCATACACAAAGTAAGAGCCAGTATCAAGTAGATGGAATCTAATGATCTACTTGCGAACCTTCGCTCCCCATTAAACCTTAAGTCAACTTTATAAAAGCTTATCAACTAGCTTGATTCAGCTGTTTACCCATTAGACTAGCTTATGAAATTCTAGTGCTATGACAATGCATAATAAATCATTAGCTCAGTTTATATTTAGCTGGTGAAGTTAATGAAACAGGACGATGCAGTAAATGACAAAGTTCTCCAGCAATGATGAAAACCTTACCTGGCAAGGGTTGGCTTGGATGCGTTTTTGTTCTAGAGCAAGTCTTGTACCACCTATCACAACTTGGACACCAATAGAAGGATGATATTTCAACAACTTATTGGCTTCTGTAGCAGCTTGACTGGCCAACTCCCGAGTTGGGCATATAACAAGTACAAAAATTGGGGGTCGCTTATTATCACGGGTGATAGGAGGTGAATTTACAACAACTTCAATTGATGGAAGCTGAAACAAAGAAACTCAACGTCAAGTAAGATGAAAAATCTCCTGTAACTGCATAAATGGAGAATACAATGGAATGCCTCAGATAAACCAAAAGCAGCATGGAATTTATCATAAATGTTGCATCTTTTTTTAATACGAGAACATTACACACAGAGAAACAAATGAAATATCTTACCAAGAACGCCACAGTTTTTCCAGTGCCCGTTCTAGCCTTGGCCAGGACATCCTTGCCTACAAAATACAACTAAGTAGAATAAGCATTTCCATTTCATGGACACGCATGGAGATCGATCAAATTTTAGATGGAAAAACAAAAACAGACATCCTTAAGAGGACATAGTAGTTACTTGATCTTATTTATATTATGGCACTCCTGATTAAACAAAGTTTCTGTTTCTTTCAGTGTCCTCGTGATGAGGACTTGTTTACAACAAGATGGCACCCCTTATCCTAAAGTCAGTGCATGATTTCGTAAAGAAATAAACCTTTCAGTATTACTGGAAGAGTAGCTTCTTGTACTACAGTCATCTTTTCATATCCTGCATCCTTGATTCCTTTCAAGGACAGCGGAGAGACGGAACATTGATCAAACCTGCAAACATTCAAAATAAGTTAAACAAGAAACTTGTCAACAATCCATTATGAAAATGTTGATGTTAAACATACCGTGATTCACTCAAATAAGAGTCGGAGCTTCCAGCTGAACTTTTCGGCAGAACCTTTTTGCTCACTTCATCCTCCGAACCACGAAACAAAGAAGCTGCATTTTTTTCTCTTAATACTCCAAAACCATCATCATCAGAAGTAGCAGTATCACTCTCTTCCTCACTAAGAAAATCCCCAATAACACCGAACTGTTTTACCTCCTCCTCTTCAGTATCATCCATTACACGCATTTCCTTACCCAAATCTCTTCCACCTCTATTCCTGGTAAAAGATTCCGCTTTCACCTTTGAACTCAAACTCCCTTTAGAAAATGAATTTGAATCCCCACGATTGTTTCTACGGTGAAATCTGTCTTCCTGGTCGTCATCACTCTGAAATTTCTTATCAAACCGCTTGCTTGCCCCTGCATTTCTCGAAAAGGAATCATTTTGGGCCGGAAATCTTCGCCTACTCGAATCTCCAAAATCGCCATTTGAATTCGGATTCCCACGATTGTTTCTGGGTGGAAATGATCTCTCTTTCCTATCACTCCCGGAATTGTTATCGAACCTCTTACTCATCCCCGGATTTCTCGAAAACGAGGACTGATTGGGGGACCGAAACTCTCGCCTTCTCGAGTCACCAAAATCTCCAGAGTCACTATCTCTCCTGCTCCTCTTTATCGGATAAGACTCCCCATCGGTCGCCCTCTCTCTAACCGTCCCCCTACGGCCCTCCGGTTCGCCGCGCGAGTCACTCTTTAACTCGCTGACCCAGTCACCGAGCTCAGCCTCGTCCTCAATCAGACTCTTCGAAGCTCCACCCGCCCTTCTCTCGTACCCGGACCCTGTCCTGGATCCCCGGAACGCCCGAGTGGAGAATGCCCGCTCAGTCTGCAATGAACGGCGAAACCCTAGGTACCTGAGCCTTACGGGGAAGACCCGCGACAAAATGGGTACAGCCCGAGAGGAGGAAATGGAGGGCGCGAATTTCATGGGCGGGAAATGAGCCGCCGGAAGAGAGGCGCTGAGGAGTCGGAGTTGGGGTAAAAGTCTGACGGGCATGAAAGTGGCCGAAAGAGACGTCGTTTTCATGGAGGTTTGTGTGGTGGAGAGGTGTGAGGAGTCCCCAGAAATGGGGATTTAGGGTTTAGGGTTTTACGAAATGTTAGCGTTCGTTTTTTATAGTTCCCAGAGAGGATGGGGTGTAGGCTCCAAAGCCAACGACACCGTTTCAGCTGATATGCAGTGTGTACGAACTCACAGCAGAGCATCCGATGATCTTTTTCTCTTTTGGGCTTAATTGGGTCATGGGCCAGCTACCATTTTTGAGACAAAGCATTTCTTACTGTCATAAATTAAAAATTGAACTATTTGCTCACAAAAAAATAACAT